GGCAGAGAGAAGAAGGGGTTTTAGCAGCAGGCCCGTGGCAGAGCAAAACTGAATCTTGTTCTCTTATATTCCCAGTTAGCGCATTAATGACCTAAATTCGGCATCCTTTCCCCACCCATCGCCCAGAGGAGCCAGGAGGCATTGGAGGAGCGGGTGTGGTAGCGCAGGCGAATAGTCGGCACCCAGAGTCACGCCGCTCTGCCCTGAGCACAGACAAAGCAGGGGCTGACGTGGGACCAGCGCGGCCCAGCCTGCTCTGACGAACCCCAGCGGGGTTGAGCCCGGGAGGGGGATCAGCCTGCCGCGGCGTATCAGCCGGGGGTGAAGGGCAGCTCCTCAACACCACAGCATTTTAAGCAAGCCAAGGCTGGACGTGCCAATGGCCAGGCACCCTGCTGAGCCAGATCAGCAAGGCCTTTTGGGCACTCAGCCCCAGGAGCAGATTTTCATGGAGCCTGCATGTCCCCTCACCCTGCCCAAGCAGCCGAACCTCTGACTAGCTGTCCCACACAAGCCGGTATGAAAGGCGCCCTGCGGAAGATGCAGCATCTTTCCCAAGCCGCTTGATTCTTCACGTAGGAATTAATCAGGTTCAAATACAGCGAGAAACGGAGTGGGGGAGAGGAAGAAGAGAGGAAGCAGGGAATGCGTGGCACAGAGTGAGGGGGTTTCCAGACGCAGTGCCTCTTCCCGCCCTGGCTGATTCCAGCCGGGGGGCTCTGGTTGTGCGCCGGGAGCCTTGCCTGTGCTCCCCCAGCGTGCACGGGCAGGCGGCACTCAGTGTTCGGCATCTGATGGGCAAGGAGCTGAAATCTGAGGCTGGAGACTTCCTCGGTGCCTCGGAGAGTGGCAGTGTTCACGTGCACCGTACAGCAGTGACCGCAGCCAAAGGACCAGGGTGATGAGCTGCTCGTCTGTGGTGGGCAGACGGCCCCAGGCAGTCAGGGGCAAGGGAAAGGATGCCCTTCGCGCTGTATCTGCCTTCCTCACAGGCATTTAAGCGGGCAAGTAGCAGGGTGGGAGAGTGGCAAGGGAATCTGCTTGGCTATGAAGCTTTCCCTCCAGAAGAGCCATGGCTGAGAAGCAGACACTTCTTGAGCGAGGTAACTGGATTGGGGATGGGTAATTAACAACCTCCTTTCATAACCCACAGTTTCAGTGTGGGAATAACACTTCAGAGGTACACGGGGAAGCTTTGTTCCTACTTTCTTCTCCTATTACTTACCTCTTACATGCACACATACTCTCCTCTGCTGTCTCTAGCCCCTTCATGGAAACTCCTTGAACTAGTAGTTAAAGGCAATAGGTTTCTCAGAAGCATCAGACACAAGATGACTGGATGCAGAAGCCAAGCTTGGGGGCTGACCTAGAGGAACCCACCTACCTGTCTTCTACAGCTATTTGCTCAGCACTTCCTCCCAAAGCATCCCAAACCTTGCTTCCAGTAAGGCTTGGCCTCAAGAAGAAACTCAGGGGGAATCCTTTGAGCTTGATCCTTCTTCCAGCTATTCCTAAATACCTGAAAGATTATTGTAATTCATGTAAAATAAACCTTCCAAGACATGACCTGGGGACCTGACATGGTCCCTGCAAGTCTCAGCCTGGGCAGGGTTGGCCTGGAAAAGCTCTGGGCTCCTCACAAGCAACCCTTCCCAGAGGCAAAAACCAGAAGTGTGGTGGCTTCATTGCCCTCTTGCTCTGCACATGCAGCTGGGCTCAGGGCCAGGGTGGCAGGCGACTTTCCCAGGTTGCCACAGCATTTGTCACCTTCCAGACTTGGGGTCCAAACTCTTCTCCTGAGGGATCAGTCAGCCTGAGCCACTTTGGTGGCTGACCTCTGGTGAGGGGGCTGGGATCACCACGCCTATCCATGCAGCTCATGCGGGTACTGCATTCCTCCTTTCTGGAGAGATTATGTCCACCATTTCTGTGTTAACGGTCAGCCAGTGCAAGAGTCCAGAAGGAAATGTAAGGGAAGGTGGGAGAAAAAGGTTGGGGGAACCCTGGGAGGTATAATGAAATTGCCTTCCACATGGTCACCCCTGTGCAAGCATGAACAAGCTGATCCTTTGAGATCCTAGTCAACCAGTGGTCATGCTGATGATGTGGCTTGAGGATTACCTCTCTGGAGTGGTATTCCTGATTTCAAGAGAAGACAGACATGAATGATGAAAACAGGAGCCTGGTAGACATCTCAGATGACAAAAGACTGGGAAGATGTTGCTGGCCCCCTGTTGGGATGGCTTTGCTGGTCGTGCAGTGTGTGAAAAAGGGTGCCCCATGACTAAAGCTAGCAGAGGGTCCTGTACATAAACCAGCCTGATGAAACTGAGGGTGACCAGCCCAGGTTCCCTCACTTATGGCAAAAGATTTTGCTCCCCCAGTGCAAAGGGTGTTTTGCTGCTGAGCTGCATACACACTCTTGCACCAAGCTTCTTGTAGCCTTGGTCTATGAGAGGACACAAGAGGAGTCCTGATAAAGGTATGCAAAAACAAGCAGTCATACGGAGAAAGGAGATTAAGCACTTTTGTTCTTCTCATACCACACCAGAACAACAGGATGTAATCTGCCCATGAAATGAATAGGCAGCAAATCCACAGCTGAGAGAAACAAACGCTTTTTTACCCAAACCTGATCACCCCACCATCTACAGCACTGCTGGGATGCACCGAGGCCACACCAGGTGAAACACAGCCACCCACAGTTATGCCGGCTGATGCTGAGGGAAGGGACCCTGACCCTCGTGCTTCACAGCATGACCCAGTCTCTGGCTCCTCTTCCCACCCCACCGCCCTCAGAGGTGGGCAGTGCTCTCCTGTCTGCCTGCGGCGGGATTCATACCTGCCCGCCAAAGCCTCTGGTGCTCTCCGCCGTTGAGCGAGGAGCGCTGGGCTAGGTGGGCATCAGGCTGGATCCAGATGGCGAATCCCATGTTCCTGTGCAAATAAGAGGGAGATGCAGGCGTGAGTGTGCGAGTATCTGGGCATTTAATGGGCATCCATCCATGAGCGGGAGTGCTGCCTGGGAGGAAGGCAGGGTGGGCACAAAGGGCAACGCAGAGGGCAGCTGTTCCTGCGAGGCAGGTTGTGGTGTTCTCATTTGTTCTTTTTTTCTCTTGTTCCCTAGGGAATTTTAAAGGTCTGTGTAAGCAAATCGATCACTTCCCCGAGGATGCAGATTATGAAGCCGATACAGCAGAATATTTCCTCCGTAAGTCCGCAGGCTATTCTCCTTGCAATGGCTCGTAGGTGCTAGCGTCGGGTGCCTTTTGCTTTCTGAAGGTAGAGTGGTGGAGATAGTGGGACCTGTGAGGCTCAGCGGGCCAGAGGAGGCAACCCCAGAGCCTCATCACCCCCAAAAAACAGCTCCACTCCCATGACACAGTGCAAGTTTTGAACTCATAGTAACAACCAGTGACATTTTTTATTAATGGCAATTAATTATGATATAAATCCAGAGCCTTAATTCAAATCCATTGTAGAGCTGCTGGGTGGCCATAAGGTCAGGACTGGGCTAGCTGGGGGCAGTGTGAGTGTGTGTCAGTGTGTGTGTGTCCTCCTAAAGCAGAGGAAATTTGTATTTCTTTACCTGATACTCCAGTTGCATCAGATTTAAGAAATTAGCTAGACTGTGTCCGAGGAGCACCTATTTCTGTCTTCACCTTTCCCACACCACCACTTGCCTACAGAGGCTGCAGATCTGATCTTTGGTGGTTTTAGTGATTTTACTGATGGGAATGGGAAGCAGGAATAAGGACAGTCAGAGCCCTCTGAAGAAAAGACCTGGTGCTCACCCAGGGCCCCCGGGAGAGGTGCTGTGCCCCAGGCACATGGCATCTCCATATGGAAACCTAACCTGAGCTCCGAGTTCAACCTGGGACATGCGTGTGAAGCTCGCACCGCTTTGCACATGGGGCCAGGGAAGGTAGCCTGGCCAGCAAGGCAGATCCACATCACGTGTTGCCCTCCCCGATCACAAGTCAGCATCTCCACCTGCCTCAGAAGCAGGAGCCTGCTCTTCCTTTAGCACAGTTGAACAAGGATCACTCCTCTTAGGTCCCCACCTTGCCATCCTGCCCTCCCTCCACAAGCCCAACACTTTTTGACATCACGGGAAGAGATCTTCTCCCTTCAGAATTCTGGGATAAGAGCTTTTGACCTCCCAAGGTTAAGCATGAGAGATCTCCAAAGGCTGGGAGACTTCCAGAATAGCTCCTCGTCATCCGGGCATGCTCCAAGCCAGATGTAGAGACCCAGCCCTGCGGCAGAGATGAGAGAGATAATTTAGGCTCTGTGCAGCTCATTTGTATGTGAAAAGAGGCGGATCTTATGCTGCTTCCTCTTGGTTCCTCAAACAGTTTTTCATCCACTGTAAATTGTAAATAACCCAGGGACATTGCTTCTTTCAGATGCCATTCTGCAGCATCAGTCTCTTAATTGCTGCATGGCCCCTGAATGGCAGAGATGAAGACTGTGGGGTTTGGTCCGGTTTGGCACAGTGGCCGTGCAGCCTGCCCCTGATGGCAAACCAGCTCTTGCAGAGTTGTTTGGAAGCGAGGAAGCTGCTTGCAGCATCAGCTGCACTTCAGAAAGGAGAGTTGGGGGAAGGGAGCGAACATCTCAAGAAGGATGGGTCTGTTCCCTCAGAGGGAACAAGATCTGAAGACAAAAATTGGCCCAACATCAGGACCTGATGGTGTCCCCAGGGTAGAGCCCTTTTTAAGAAAGAACCAGGATCAAAGAGGGACTTGGCATGTCAGTAAAGGACTACTTGGGTCACTCCTGAGGCAAGTGGGATTTCTGCTGGCTTAGACCTGACAGGAGGGGGACCCCACTGAACAGCTTCTTCTCAGGACTTCTGCCAAACCGGAGTCCCTGGGCACTCTGCATGGGCGATGCCTGGCAGTACTGGCAAGAACGGCTAGGAAGTTGTTTATTAGTATCAGACTAGGTGATTCCATCATTCAGGGGACCAGGATGATTGTGGGGCAGTGTCCATGGCCTGGCTAGAAGGGCTTAGACTTTATTTCTGCCAGCCATCCACATAAGGTGTCTTAGGATTTTTGAAATCAAGCGCCTGTTGTCAGAGAGGAAGAAGAAGCATCCCTGTGTTTCTTTGCTGGAAGACACTCGAGTTAGAGAGTAGACAGATGATACAAGGGACCATCTGAACACCATCATGAGTCCCCTTCTTTTTAGACCAAAGGCTCTGGACCCAGTAAGACTGGATGAAATTCTGCCCCTCTCTTGCTGGCATGGTCCTCCTGAGGGGCAAAAAGCAGGAGCCGAGAGAGGCTGCTGTCCTCCCCCATCACATGACGCCCACAGCTTGGCAGTCAGCAACTTTGTGTTCTCCCAACAGACGTGAATTTCAGAATTAAGACCCAGATAAAACCAGTGTGGCCAGGGCCAGGCTGCAGGACTGACTGAGCATCCCTCTAGAAACCCTCTAAACAGCGGGTGGCTGCTTGATGTTTGCTTACTGCCATTTAAGCTTCGCATTGTCAAATCCTGCCTTGCTTTCCAGAAGCTATTAAGATGGTTATTATCACTATCCTGTTCCCTGAAATACAGCCAGGCAGAACTGGAAAGCAAGCAGGAGAGGTTTCTCCCTGCCTTCTGCATTCCTCACGCACAGGCAGTGGGCTAGGGCCCCCTTCAAAGAGCCGATTGCTTGTGCCTGGTTGGATCCTGATGCCAACAGGGTCTTCGAAGCACGGTCTCTGCCAGCTTAGGAAAAAGTCCTGCGCTTGCTTCAGTAGGGTTCATTCTTGCAGTCAAGGAGGGATTAGCTTTCATCTCCCCTTCCAGATCTTTGCTCCACAAGCAGAATTTGCACCAGCCTGTCTGATACCTTTCTTTATCAAGCAAAGCTTCACTTCACACTTTAACAGCTTATTTTCTCTTGGGAAGGGAGGAGGGAAGGCTTTCCTAGTTAGACGATAGGAATATTGGCAACTCAGGCAGACCGTTGGTACCCATTGAACAGCCCACGAGCAGTGTGTGCGTGCATGCCTGCGTGCGTGGACGTCTGTATGCATAGCCCTGGCCTTTCGCTGCCTGAATACGAGGGAGTCCCCACAGAAGCTTTGGGGTATGTTTTGCATGCGCGTATGAGCACATACGTGCATCTGTGCCATTGCCCTCTGCTGGATGAGCTCTTCCCGTATCGACCGATGGACAGCATGCGTGTGTGGGTGCTGGCACATCTGAACCCATCACTGCGCTCTGGAAGGAGCCCAGTTGTTTAATCACTAGGATAAGCCCCATGTTTCAGTGCACAGGGCTGGAACTGTTGCTTCTCAGTCCTCACTGCAGCTGCAGAGCAGTGCACGGCACCGGGAGCTCTTTCCCAGCTCTAAAAAATTTAAAAAAAAAAAAAATCTCTCCTTGAGATGCTTGTGCCCTTTCGGGAGGATTCGAGATTGAGCAGCTCTGCGGGAAGCATTTGGGTTGCTGGTCTTTGAAGAGCAGGCTCGAGCAGCAGCATCCTGCAAGAGGAGAAGCTG